CCCGCAGTGAGTGAGTGAGCGTCCGGGCGGGGCCGCTGCAAAAAAAAAACACCACCCGGGTCGGGGCGGGGCCGCAGCCAAAAAAAACACCACCCCGGCGGCCCCAGTGGGAGGCATCACCGCCCAGGCCCGCAGTGAGTGAGTGAGCGCCCTTTTTGCTTGGGCCCCGTGTCATGGGTTTCTGGATTTGTCTTTGCTGTCGTTCCCGGGCCTTCTCCTTCCCCTGCCTATCGGCGGGGCCGGAGCAAAACAAAACACCTGGGTGGTGTTGTTTTTGTTGCTCTGGCCCCGCCGACAGGTCTCGGCGCCCAACGGGGCGCAACAAAAAAAACAAAAACACTTTGCACACCCGGGAACGACAGCAACAAAAACTCTAGAAACCAATGACACGGGGCCACAAAAAAGCCACCCTGACCCCTAATTTGGAGAACTACCAAAACCCTAAACCCTAAACCCTAAACCCTAAACCCAGCCAAAACACTAAACTTTCTAACGCCCGAGGTCGGACACGCTGTTTGGCACGCCGGGCAATCGAGCAGCTCGACCTGTCAGGGTCTTAGGGCCTCTAGGGTTTCCTTTACGGGCTCCTTTAAGGGTCCCTTTAAGGGTTTAGGGCTTCCTTTAAGGGCTTAAAGGGTTTAGGGTTTCGGGTTTAGGGTTTCCTTTAAGGGCTTAAAGGGTTTAGGGTTTCGGGTTTAGGGGTTCCTTTAAGGGTCCCTTGAAGGGCTCCTTTAAAGGTTCCTTTAATAAGGGATCTACGCGGGTTCCTTTAAAGGGTCCGGGGTTTTTGGAGTTTAGGGTCTATGGTGTTTCGGGTTCCCTTTTAGAGGGCTTGGGCTTACGGTTGTAGGGTTTAGGGTTTAGGGTTTAGGGGTTTCCTTTTAGAGGGCTTGGGCTTAGGGTTGTAGGGTTTAGGGGGTTCGGGTTTCCTTTTAAACTATAAGGACTCCCACAAGGATTCCTTTAAAGGGTCTGGGGTTTTAGGTTTCGGGTTTCCTTAAAAGGGCTTCCTTTAAAGGGTTTCTGTAAATTGGTTCCATTATAAGGGTCTCTTCAAGGGATATGTGGGTTTGGGATTTTAGGGTTTCCTTGAGAAAGTTTCCATACGGGGTTTTTTGAGCATCTGTTAAAGGCGTATATGTGTTTAGGGTCGTAGCTTTAAAGTTTGTTTAGGGTTTTGGGGGGTCTTACTTGGAGGGTCGGGAGACTTAGTAAGTAGGTAATAAGTGGACTTATAAGTACCCTAAAAGGGACCCTAATTGGGGTTATAGCACTTATAAGTCTATGAAATAACCACTTACTAAGTCCCCCGACCCTCCAAGTAGGGTTTCCGGTATTAGGGTTTTGGGGTCTGGAGCTTTGCTGCCGTGGAATTCTGGGGCTTTCGGCTACATGGGGCTTTAGGGTTTTGTGTTCAGGGCTTTGTGGTTTGAGGGTCTTGGTTTGGTTTGGTGTTTTTGGGTCTCAGGGCTTCAGGGCTTTAGGGTTTAGGTCTAGGACATTTTCAGGTGGGTAGTTACCGCTATAGGAGCCTTGTAGAAGGTCTTTATACCTTATGGAAGCCTTATAGAAGCCCTGAATACCCTAATCTCCCCACCTGCAGTTTCCTTTACCTAGGGGCATAGAGGCAACTTGTGCAGGGTTGATTTCGGTGATGTTTTGTTTTTGGAAGCGGGAGTCGTTTAGGTTGAGTCTTAAATGCTTGGGGGAGGTTGGACTTGAGGGGAGGTGCCATAGCTATAGAGCTCAGCTTAGTCCTAGGATGCTCAACCTAGCGGTCGGTCACCATCGCAGTTGTCTTACTTGCGAAAAAAACGGATGTGTAGCGACGGCGGTGTTATGCTGGCTTTCTGCAGGCTCAAAGCAGAGATCGGATCCAGGCTAAAATAGGGGCCTCAATAATTAGAATGGGTGTACTATACTGTTCTTTACTATAACTATAATAAGGAACACCCAAAACCCTATTCTAAGTATCAAGGCCCCTACATTATTGCGTTGGACTCTATAACTCCTGAAACCGGCAAAGTCTCAAACGATTAGTCCACTAGATACTCTTGAGGGTTCAACCCCAAGTCCAAAACAGCCCATAGATATCCTAAGGGGGTTTAGGGTTTAGGGTTTAGGGTAATATATGGCCTCAATGATTACAATAGGGTTTTGGAGTCCTTTATGGGGTAAACCTAATAAGGCCCCAAAATAATATAGGTAAGTGTTCAGGCCCCAATACTGAACCCCAATTCCGACACCTAAACCCCCTAAACCCTAAACCCTAAACCCCTAAACCCCTAAATCCTTAAACCTAAATCAGAAGACGAGGTGTCGGCACTGTCCGCATCGATGGCCTCTTTGGGAGGCCGGCATCGGTTTTGCTAAGGGCGGCGGCCAAGCTTAGCCAGACCCTAAACCCTAAACCCTAAACCCTAAACCCTAAACCCTGCCCTTATAGGATTCCTTATTGTACCTTGTAGTTTCTGTTTGTACTTGAACAGGTTTGCCTGGCTGACGGTAATTTCTAAATCCGAAACACTGAACGTTACACTCCGAAACCCATACGACCATGAACCACGAACCCTTGATAGACTAAACTCCAAGGCCCCTGTAAACATAATCCGAAACCCACATGCCGTAAAACCTAAATTTCGAGGCTGATAATTTGGTAAGACCTGCCTACTGTAAGGGCCTAAATAATTACCAATACCATTTTTGGGGCTCCTTATTATACCCACCATCATCGCGTTATAATTATACTATACAGGACCCCCAAACCCTATTCTAATTCGCAAAGCCGCTATGTTACAAACACTTCGAAATCCCAAGTTTTGAGCCCTGACACTTTCAGATTCTAGAGGTTAGGAGTTTAGAGCGTAAGCCGTGTTCGTAGGGCCCCCGAACTCTGCATTTGAGTTTAAAACACAAGCATCTAGAAGAAAAAGCAGGGTATGGTCCGAGGTACAGAACCCTAAACCCTAAAAGCGCACGCTGCGAACTTCCTGAGGCGGCGAAGCCTTCGGCGAACTTAGCCCTGCCGTGCACTGAGATGGTGGACAAACAGCTAGGAAGTTTAAGCAGTCTGTTTGAGGGCTCCCGTCCTAAACCCCAAACCCTAGACCCTGTAAGGGGTTCTATAATATAAGGTTCTATGAAGGTTCTGAATCGGATTGTGGGTTCAGGATTCGGATGTGTGTTTGAAGCAGCTAGGGTTTCGAGGGCGGTTCCTTTGGGAATTCCGATGAATGCTCTAGAAGGTTCTGTAGAGTTCTGTGAGGGTTCCGCAAGATTTTCGGAATTCTGGGCTCGGGGTTTCTTGTTTTTTTTCTTATGGTTCCGGGTCACGGAATTTAAGATTTGCGTTGGTGCCTTGAACTTGTTGAAAGCACTACAGAACTCCTGCCACTGCTCCAGCGTGGTGGATTTGAGCCCATAGCCCGAGAAGTCCTCGGATCTGAATGATTTTCATTTGGCAATATGTAGCAGTGCCGAGAGGTCCACGTATCTGGTCTGTCTCTACGTGTGTGTATATATATATATATGCATACAAGTATTTACATATATTTAAATGTACAAACATATGGTACACGTTGAGTTGCTATCGTTGATGTAGGAGCCTGTTCAAGGCCAGAGTTTACACATTTGTTGATTTATTTATCTTAGTATTTAGGATTTAGGGTTTAGAGTTTAGGATTTAGGATCTATTTACTTATTTGTTTGTTTTTTATGTATACATACATACTACAGATGGGCACATGGGCCCTGAGGGGTTGGGGACTGCCGCATGTTCGCGTTGGCTCAGGACGCCTCAAGAAAGAAATACATCGAACTTGCTTGTGTTTGTTCAGGTTGAAGCCTCCAATACAGGGGCCTAAATAATTACCAACATTATTTTGGGGGTTTCTTATCATAAATATAGTGCCCCAAAACCCTATTCTAATTAAGGCCCCTAAACCCTAATCCCCTCATCGAATAACCCTTATAGAACCCGTTAAGGAACCCTTTAAAGGAATCCTATGAAGCCCTTATTCTAATTATTAAGGCCCCTACATTACCCCGTCAGTTGGAATCTGCAGCCCGCAGCCGCAGAGCCAGAGCCCCACCAGTCGCAGCCTTTTCCTGCACTTAGAGTAGGGTTTTGGGGCCCATGATACTATAAGTACAATCAGGAACCCCCCAAAATAGTATTGGCAATTATCTAGACCCCCACATTATTTGCCCGTCCCGGCGCCCAGATTTGCCGCCCCCAGGTCCAGCCCCAGAGCCAGCCCCAGCCCAGCCACCAGCCCGAGCCCCCAGCCCCAACTCAGAAATCAGGTTCCGAAGAGAAAACGTTCGCTCAAAACTTCGGTGAACACGTTTCGGTAAATAATACAAGCGCACCCTAAACCCTTAGCAATTTCTCTTCGCCACACCATTAAACCCTATAACCCAAAACCCTAAACCCTTAGCAATTTCTCTTCGCCACGCCTGTATGTTTAGATGCACCCCGGCCCTGAACCGCTGCATCCTCAGGCGCCACGCCGCAATCCCAACCCGCAAGGCCAGCAGCTGCTGGGCGGGTGGGGGGTTTAGGGTTTAGGGTTTAGGGTTTAGGGTTTAGGGTTTAGGGTGGGTTCTAGGATGCAAATCGACCAGAAGGCTCGAAGGTTTCACATATTCTAGCCATTAATTTGCCCAAAGACCAGAATTCGTAAAGGATCTGGGCCATTTCGAGCCGCAGGGTGCTTCGAAACTTTGGCTGGAAGCCCTGAGCCCTAAACATTGAACCCTAAACCCAAGCCCTAAAATCTAGAGCTTACGGCCTAGACCCTTCAGCCTAAGCCAGGTCTTCACAGTTGATGACTCGAAGAATCGGAGGCTTAGCACAGGCTTTAGGGCTTACATGTCAAGCCCTAATCAGCTACTGTACATGTTAAATCGTGAAAAACAAGCACGTAAACTCCTCAAACCCCAATGTTAAGAAGATCCCTAAACCCTAACCCAAAGCCCAAAACCCTAAACCCTAAACCCTAAACCCTAAAACCCTAAAGCCTAAACCCTAAACCGTAAACCCTAAACCCTATAAACCCTAAACCCTAAACCCTAAACCCTCTGATGTGGGAGGCTTGTCGACACCACCCAGGCCCAACTATGGGGACACCCCCGCGCCCTGGCCCGACGGTGTGGGAAAGACCTCAACGTTTTCGGGGGTCAAGTTTAGGGTTTAGGGTTTAGGGTTTAGGGATTTTTGGGCTGTGGGGCTTTGGGGGTTTAGGGCCTGGGGTTTAGGGTTTTGGGCCTGGGGTTTAGGGTTTAGGGCTTGGGCTTTAGGGTTGCGGGCCTGCGGGTTTAGGGGTTTAGGGTGTAGGGCTTTAGGGGTATTTTGGGATTTAGGGTTTAGGGCTTGGAGTTTAGGGTTTCGGGTTTGGGGCCTGGAGTTTAAGGCCTAAGAGTTTAGGGTTTTGGACTGTAAGGTTTTAGGGGCTTAGGGCTGAGTCTTTGGAGATCATCGCCGGGGCGATGATAAGTAGGGCACAACTAAGGGCATAAGGGTTTCTGTAAGCCCCTGTACATTTAGGTGCTCGTACACCATCGCACACCCCAAGTATGAGATGCAGAGTCTTAGGTGCTACTGCGTGTCATTGTGTGTCATAATGAGTGGGCTAATAAAGTCTAAAGTCATGATTTTGGGGAGTTTGAGTCTGTGGTGAGAATGTCTGGGGGTTTATTGCGGGTCTAGGAAAAAGCGCTCTTAAGTACTTGTTGGAAGTGTTTGAAATTTCGGATTTCATTTTTTCGAAATTTCAGATTTCGTTTGCTGGGGGTCTTTTTCGCAGCAGCACACACACGCATGCACGCATGCGCGCACACTTGAAAGGACAAGAACGGTCAGGCGCCACGGACGGGTCAAATATATGGAGGTCTCAATCCTTAGCAGTTGCCCCGTGCAGCCCATATTCTATCGTATCCCCTCAAGAACCCAAGAACGGTTCTAATATCAAGTTAGAGCGCCTATGTTAATCGAGGACATGGCATCTGCTGCCAAACCGAGCCAAGGTTCAGGGTCCCGTGTGAATGGCCCACGGCTTTTAGACTTCAAGGTCATCGGTCAACATATCACAAATAGTGAGTAAAAACCTCGGGCATTACCAGGATCTTCATCACCTTTCGAAAGTTTTTCAGTTTTATGAACTATTGTCCTCTGTAGTGTTGATTTGCTGTCATTATGCCCGAGGCTTTGACATTAATATAGGGGCCGTAAAAATTAGAATAGGGTTTTGGGGCCCGTTAGACTATAATTATAAGAAGGGACCCCCAAAATCCTATTCTGATTATTGAGGCCCCTACACCCTGAACCCTTACAGTATAACCCTTATAGAACCGTTTAAAAGAGCCCTTTAAAGGAACCCCCAAAACCCTATTCTAGTTATCAAGGCCCCTAGATTACTGGCTTTGGGATTTCCTGTAAACCCTAAACCCTAAACCTAAACCCTAAACCATAGATTGCTGGCTTTTGGATTTCCTGGGCTCCGAGACTCCGTGCCAACGTCGCACTTAGGACTGGGGCGGCCCTTTCTCTGAGTCGCTGGAAGCTGAGGGTTTAGGGTTTAGGGTTGAGAGTTGAGGGTTTAGGGTTTAGGGTTTAGGGTTTAGAGTTTAGGGTTTAGAGCTGAGTGTGGGAGGTTTGGGTTTTGGGGAGTGTCGAGGTATCGGGCTGTAGGAATACAGATGCGGGGTTTCGAGCTTTCCCGATGGTGTCCCCCCCTAGCTTCCGATTCAAGCTCAGATTGCAAAGAGTCCGTGTTAGAGAGGGCGAGAGAGAGGGGGAGGGAGGCGGAGAGAGAAGTCATCACAGGTCTGCAGGCTCTGGGACTGGTGGCAGGGCTCAAGGCTGCTCAAACTATGAGCCATTTTCCGTCTCCATCTCAGCAGCACAAGAGCTAAACCCGAAACCCTAAACCCTAATCGGGCTGCAAGAGACAGCAAGCCGAGGCTCCCTCTACCGAAAAGCCTCGCCCTAAATCATCCGAAGCCCCAAACCCCCAAAACTGGAACCCTAGCTAAACCCTGAACCTTGAACCCTAAACCCCCAACCCCAAACTTAAGCCTAAACCCTAAACCCCAAACTTAAGGCTAGAACGTGCTTTGGTCTGGGCAAGGCCGGCACTGCCATCGCACCAGCCGAGACGTGAGGCGGGGAAGCTGTGCAGGGTGTGGCTTAAGGTGATTCTGCTTACTGTACCTTGGGGATCATGACACTTAATCTCGGCTTTGGAGTACCATACTTTAATACTTGTTTTTGGGACCTGTTCCTTAAAGGAACCATTATGGAATATCAGTCTATACTTTTTTCTCCCTGGTTACCTCAAAGCCCAGTAATAAGTTAGGATACAAGTGCTTGAATTTGGGTTATACAATATAATTTTACGTGTAGTTAACTTTTTCAGAAACTTAGCTGCTAAGCATGATCCATCGAGTAAGACGATAGGTAAACCCTGAACCCCTGCCTTCAGGGTCCAAGTACCGATCATGATTGCATACTGCCCCAAATACCCACAGCATTACTATCCTAAAGCCTAAACCCTAGCCTAGACCCTAAGCCGTACCTGACTATCGGGTCCTTTGGGCCCTCAGGGCTCCAAAAAGTGGCCTTAATCCCTGAACCCTATACCCCAAAAGCCCTGCAAGTACCTTTTGTAACTCCAAAGCATGCAGCCCTTTTTTGAAAACCTGAGTTCGAAGCTCACCCTCAACCCTACTTAGGGGCTCTCCCGGGTAGTGTGCGGCGTTATAGGTACCTTAGCGTGCTTTTAAAGGCCGCTGTTTAGACCTGTGGTTGGCCTACTTACTAATCCTGTGATCCTAGTAGTATGCCCTACACCCCACCTGAACGCGAAAAACTTTACCTTTTAAGGATCTATAAACGGAAGCCGTGTGAGTTCATTACAAGCAATCCTAAGTGCCCTAAGTTGTAAGGGGTTAAGGTACACCCTAAACCCTTCACCCTGAACCCTAAACTCT